TTCTTGGGGTGTGACAATTAAAATCCCCCCGAATAATAACTGGAAAAGAAAAAGCCCTAATCTCAGAAGATATATCCTCAATAAAAGAGTGCTTCAATGAAGAAACATAAGGGTCATACACATTCATAAAACCCCAAGGAAAACCCTGAGTAGGACCCATAAACCCTAAAAGTATGAAATTATGTTGTATGTTTTACAAATATTATGATGGATTTTACTTTTCTTTTATCTATACCCAGACCTGACCCAACCTAGCTAGTTCGGTCTGAGTCCAATGACTTGGATCCAACATGGGTCCGGTTCGGTTTTGCGTTTGACTAGGACCCAGTTGGTTTAGGTCTAGGCCAACTCGACCTATTAACACCCCTAAACGAGTTCACGATAACTTATTTTTTAAGCAAAGCTCTATACAAAACTAGTCCACAATACTTGGCATTTTTCTACTAGAGCATTCACCAATAACAAGATGAAGAGGATAAATTTCATTCAGACTTCAAAAACTTTTAAGGTTGTCAAATCAATCAATTTATAGGTGATGTTCTTGAACCTCCTCATCTCTTTTATTAAAAATGTTAAAATTACCTTAATTCTCAATTTAGGGGAAGTGTTATTGCACCCTCAAGTTAAATGATGCAAATACTGTTATTTAGATTTTAAACTAAGACATGTATTTTTATTAATGCAAGATTTGAAATTTAGAACAAAGTTGGGCATCATTTGACTTCTGGGCCAAACTATTACCCCATTTTGTTATTGTTCCATTAAGATTTATTTGGAAACCAAAATAGGCAAGGGCATTTTGATATTTTAACCTACTTAGTTAAATGGCAAAAATGCCTTGTTTATGTCTTCCAAACCCAAGCGTGAGTATTATTTTTACATAATGCTATAATGTTTGTCAAGTTATTAGAATTAAAATGTTACTACATAATTGCCTTATCTTGTTGAAGTAGTTATTTGTCTTAGGAAAAGTATCCCGTCATGTTTTAATGGTTGAGATTTCACAAGGCCATATCTAACAGCTCCGAATTAATCTCATGTTTTATTTTTTTATTGAAATAATATATTTATTTGAATTTTTGGATGTAGGCTTATTTTTATAAATATAGCTAAATAAAAATGATTAAAAAATATATTAACAAGTAAAATAACCAAAATACCTCTAAATTTATATTGATCAATATTTTTATCCTTAGATATTATTTTTATTCAATTCTACTTATAAAAATGAAGCTAAAGCCCAAATTTCAGAGTATCAATTTTAAATAAAAAAAGAAAAATAAAAATAATATTCGTTTTTGGCCTTTAGATGAGGATCGCTCAATCTGAACCGTTTTTCTAAGTTGTTTAACCCTTGTTTTCTAGATCTGACCAACCACCAAATTGATGATGGGCTTGGTCCAATCAAAACGGGCTAGCTATTGATAAAACTAGCTGGACCATATTTTCAAATGTAAAAAATAAAAATAATTGTTTAGAAATATAAAATATTGTTTAGAAATATAAAATATAGAAATAAAAAAGTTTATAAAAGCTATTTAATTAGTTAGGCCTATCAAAACTAGATAGTCAAACGGGCAAAAACAAGTCAACATTGATTTTTATTTGTTTATGATTCAATAAAGTTTTTACTTTAGACTACACTGGTCGAGATACCTATTGGCCGTCTAATCGGTAGGATCGGGTGGTTTGATTCAGCATTCAGTGTTAATAACTATGGGTGTGATGCTTTTTTTTTGTTTTGGGAGAAGAAAACAAAAAATTACCATTTTTGGGTGTGACGCTTTTAGCAATATACCAACTATGGGTCTGACCCTTTTTATCCAGGGGAATGTGTCTAACCCTTTTAGCAATATGGGCGTGACCCTTTCAGCTATGGGTCTTACCCTTTTAGTAATATTTTCCATAGGCAAAATGAATGAATTGGGGACGAATAAATACGGTTTTCTTTCATATGTTTTGAGAACGGTAAAGACAAGGCTTCTAAAGTGAAGTGAAATAGCAAGATTTCCAAAAAAAAAAAGGGGTAAAAGTTCCATCACCATAAATGGTCTATAAGCCCCAAATCAACAAAAAGTCGCAAGATATTCACTGGCCCTTACCTCACAATGGAAAGACTATATGACCTTTAAACAAGAATGAAAGACCAAAATACGGCCTGGCCCAAGCTGTGTCCCTAGCTAGCAGGCTGTCCTTCGCCAAACATAATAAAACACTGAGTGTATTTGACTAGTAGAATTTTTGGGAGTGGGTGGGACTCTTCCGCAGAGTATGAAAAGTTGTTCTTCCATCATTTATTTTTGACGGACAGGAGGTTTTTAAAAATTGAACCCATTTTAATGTTATAAAAAAGCTGCGTGGAAGGCTACGGCTCCACTTTACAGCTTCCATACAATAACATCTCCTACTTCAAAAATTCCCGATTAAACAAGCCTAAATGGCAAAAAATATAAAAAAGAGAAGGTTGGGCCGGGTAGATTTGTAAGTCGGGTGGCCTAGCCCTGTCAAGCTACATTTTATGGCCTTGGCCCCAGTTTTTTGGGCTGGACTGACCCGGCCGGGCGACCCACCTAATTGCTGTATAAAAACTAGCATTTTCCATGAGCATTTATATGTCATAAGCAACTGAAATAAAGGCCATTTGGTAAATGTGTCTCTCCAGGCATTGGTGGCAATGAGTTAGGTGGCACAGGTCAGTCGGTCTTAAAAGAAACTAGGGCCTGGCCCATCCCAATACTTCCTAAGCCCGGTCGGGCCGGGCCAGGAGATTTTATTGTTTTTTCCTTGATGTCCTCTAAATTTGCGGTCTCGATAGGATAAGGGCCCAGCCCAGGCTCAGGCCGAGACCCAGAGACTGCCCTACATCATCTCATTTTTCTTTTTAGGAAGTTTTCTCATGAAAACCACAGGCTCTTTTGGTAAGTACGCGACTCATCAAAACCTTGCATTTGGACTGTGCAGCGTTGACACCGTGTGTCATTATTCTGAATAGAAGTACGCAAATATCTCACAAAGTTAAGCTGTCAAATTCTACTACATTGTTGGAACAAGAAAACCTCTTCTGCAACACCTTGACCGCTCTAATGGCGACTCCAAACCTCTTTCTATCAGTTCTGATGCTTTCTGTGATCCTTTTAGTGATACCCACCTCATGCAAAAAGTGCACAAACAGTCAAACAGAGCTTTCATCTCACACCCTTCGCTATCACCTCCTCTATTCTTCCACCATTAACGAATCATCTTATTCTTCTTATTTCCCTCTCATTAAAAAGCCGTCCGTGAGGGTGGGTTTTTCTCTTTATCGAAGAAGCAGCAGCAGAAGGCGAGCTCTTTATCAGAAGGATAAGGAAGAGAAGGTTTTGGAATTGAAACCTTTTTCTTTGCATAAAGTGAGATTGGATGAAGACTCTGATTATGGTAGAGCTCAAAAGACCAACCTTGAATATCTTCTTTCTCTAGATGTTGATAGACTGGGCTGGAGTTTCAGAAAGACTGCTGGTGTTTATGCTTATGGAGAGCCTTATGGGGGATGGGAGAGCAAGGATTGTGAGCTTCGAGGCCATTTTGTTGGTACTGGTTATTGCCTCTGCGTCTCTCTCCACTGGGTGTTAACTATTAAGCAGGAATCATCCATTTTTTTTTTTTTGTAATTCCGATGTCTTTCTTCTGGGTACTAAGCTGGGTTTATTTTGTTTTATTAAGCTGGGTTTCTTTTCTTTTTTCTTTCGCTTGGCTGGAATTATTATGTGTTTTTTTTCCATAATTTTTATCTTCCTAGTGGATATTCACCCGCATTTGTCATATGTCTTGTTCTATTGATGTTTCAAATTCCACAGTTTGAGATAGAGGCTGAATTAGTAGAAACTAGTATTTGCATTTCAAATTTCAAGTTTCAGGCATGCATGCATGCATTTCTTCTACGGAAGCATTTGTGGGTTGGTTTCTCTCAGTAAATCAATCTTTACCTCTTTCGATTGATACCTTACACAGTGTTCGTTTTAATCTTTTGATTGATACCCAAAGTGTAATTCTCACTCTGGTTTCAAACCATCATAGGCAGATTTGATAAACACAGCTTTTTCCTATTACTTTCTCTTTGTTTTGAAACATCTTTGATGGGTTAGAGGGCTAACAATAGAATTGCTTTTCACTGTCGCCTGATTGATCTTGCACTATACTTCCACCTCCAGTTAGTAATTTGCAGCGTGTAAATAACATCTTAGTGCATTCACCTACACTGCTTCTGTACATGTCCTATGGTGGGATGGAAATGCCTGTGGAATAATAATTAATCAACGATTGGTTTAAAAGTAGTCTTTCATTAATGTTTGGAACTAAAACTACCAAAAGTTAGGAAATTTTCAAACTTTGATGTTTTAAGCAATATAAGGATATTTTCCTTTTTGAATGATATTTTACTTGGTTATCTGTCGTTTCGGCTGCTTACTGGGTACTCTGTTGTGTTGGACATGGTTCTTTTTTCTTTGATAGCACATGTGGTTGTCTTTCCAAGCTAGTTTCCAGCATTTAGTTCTTTTTACTTTTCAGGCATGTGATATTGTACAATCTCATTTTCATTATTGAAACAGGAAGTAGTGTTTTCTTCACTGAAAATTGATTGTGGATTCCTTTTAGGCCATTATCTGAGTGCAACCGCTTTAATGTGGGCAAGTACACATGATGAATCCCTATGGAATAAAATGAACTCTGTCATTGATGCTCTCTATGAGTGCCAGCAAAAATTAGATTCAGGATACTTGTCAGCCTTCCCTTCCGAGCTTTTTGATCGTTTCGAGGCTGTCAAGCCTGTTTGGGCTCCATATTATACGATCCACAAGGTATTAATTAACATTGCTTTATTTACCTTATATTAGATTTTTTTTTTTTGGGGTAACTCCTCATATTCAATAATTTTCTATGTATGTCATAGTCATTAGTCAGGAACTTAGTTGCTAAATGCATATGGAATTATTTAGTACAGAAAGAATTGCCTAGATAAATGTGTTTAAGCCATGTTTCTTCATTATGAAACAGATAATGGCAGGGCTTCTGGATCAGTATACTTTGGCTGGTAATAAGAAAGCATTAGAAATGGTCAAATGGATGGCTACATATTTTTACAACCGTGTGCAGAACGTGATTAGGAAGTATACAATTGAGAGACACTGGACATCTCTCAATGAAGAGACTGGAGGAATGAATGATATTCTCTATAGCCTGTACACGTTGACTGTGAGTGTATGCTGGCATTATGAAATCCAGGGAAATCTTCTAGTGTTACTTCCTTGGCTTTCACATTTAAGTCAACCATTGTAGCCTCTTGTTTTTTTCTTTTCTATTTTAACTCATTAAAGGAGTTATTTCCTGTGCTCCGAACTTTATCTATTTAAACTCATTCAAAGTTTTTATTGGTTTCTAATCTTTAGTTGCACTCATATGATTGGAATATTTTGCAGGGAGATCAAAGACATCTAGAATTGGCCCAATTATTTGATAAACCATGTTTTTTGGGTTTACTAGCAATGAAGGTACTGCTGCCAAAGTTCTAATTATCATTTTATATATATTTCTAACATCATATTTACTGCTTACAACTATTAAATAGTATGGGTTGTCCACTAAAATTCCATTAAATGAATTAATATGGACTATGGCATCACATTTAACGCAATTACAGTTATTTCAGTTGTCTGAAATAAAATGCTTAAGCAATTTGCCTGATTTGAAAAATTTGTTTGTGTTTGTTTAGGACTATGGTAAACTTCAAAAAGCTTCTTTTTTTGGTTAAAGAGATGGAAGTTATCCATATAAACTGGACCTCAACCCTGAAACTGGACCTCTGAACATTAGAATGTTTTGCATTGATCTTTTTCCTGAATCATCATGGGCAGGAAAATGAAATAAGAATTTGCTAAATAAGATTGTGGCCTTAAGGAGCATGCCTAATAGGATGCTGTCTCGAGGCGCTTCTAAGCTCTCTCTCTCTCTCCATATATATATATATATATAGTTGCATTTATCAAAAAGAAAAAATTATTCTTATCCTTACATTTCCTCAAAGCAGCCATCATATAGCTCCAACAGATTGACCAAACTTCCCTTATAGTTTATCTCTTTGTCCATCTTGGCAAATCTGTTTGTACGATGGTTCCTAAAACCCATGATCAAAAACTTATTCTGAGTCAGAAAACCTTGCCGGAGTCGACTTGACTCATATGTTAGTGAATTTTTATTAATGGAAAACTTGGTGTGTGCGTAAGA